CATTTAAGTGAAAAAAACTAATTTCAGTAGAATTGCATTAATAAAATTTTAAAGCCTTGCAATACACTATTTAGGGACATAGACATATAAGGTAAAACTCAGAAAAAAACCAAGGAAGTAATAAATTCAAAATTTAAGAGAACAATGACTTTTAGGAAGACTAAAGGGTGTGCAGTCAAGCCAGGAAGTACTGGGAACTTCCAAAGTACTAGCATTACTTTCTTTTTCATATACTAGGAGATGGCACAGCATGTTCATTGTATCACAGCTTTTTATGATTTAAATATTTTCATTACTGTTATTTTCCAATTGTTTAATATTTATTAAAAAACATTTTTAAAAACGATATCCAACAGGACAACGAAGAATGGCATTTTGATTGTGTCATTATTAAAAGACATTAGCAAAATAATAATTAAAATAATATATTATTTTTTATTTTATTTTTTAATTTATTTATTTATTATAAAGATGTGGGGTACAATTCAGGGTTAGGTATACAAACATTGATCATGCAGTTACCCTTGTTGATGAGGTATGCCCCTCCCTCCCCTCGCAGTTTCCCCCAAATGCCAGTTCCACTCCCCCTTCCCCTGACAGTTTTCCGCTACTGCCAATTGCTTTCTTATAGCATTATAATTGTTCAAGGTCACCTTATGAGTGAGAACATATAGAACTCAGTTCTTTGTTTCTGTGATAGATCACTGAGTATGATCGACTCCAAATCCATCCAATTCGCTGCAAAGTTCATATATTTGTCCTTATTTATGGCTGCATAATACCCCATTGTGTATATGTACCACATTTTTTTTTTTATCCAGTCCAGCTTCAATGGGCAACACGGTTGGTTCCATGTTTTTGCTATTGTAAATAGAGCTACAACAAACATACATGTGCAGGTATCTTTTTTGTAGAATGATTTGAGTGCCTCTGGGTATATTCCCAATAGGGGAATTGCTGGGTCATATGGAAGGTCAATTTCTAGTTGCTTCAGAAATCACCACACTGTCTTCCAAAGAGGTTGTTTTAGTCTTCTTTCCCACCAGCTGTGTAGGAGTATTCCTTTTTCTCCGCATCTTTGCCAGCATCTGTTGTTGTTTGTTGTATTAATGATGGCCATTCTTACTGGGGTTAGGTGGTATCTCAATGTGGTTTTGATTTGCATTTCTCTGATGGTTAGTGAGGCTGAGCACTTTTTTCATGTGTCTGTTGATTGCCTGTATATCTTCTTTTGAGAAATGTCTATTCATGCCTTTTGCCCACTTTTTAATGGAGTTGTTTGCTTTTTTTTTTTCTTTCAGCATGTTTGAGTTCCTACATGTTAGGCCTTTATCAGATATATATTTGGTAAATATTTTTTCCCATTCTGTGGACTGTCTCCCTGCTCTCTTGATGGTTTCTTTTGCTTTTCAGAAGCTACTTGTCTATCTTATCTCTTATGGTATGGGCACCTGGGTTTTGGGTAAGGAATGGGTTGCAGTTCCAATTTCCATAAGGGTGTCTCCTGCATTTACTAAGATTCTTATAGTTTAAGATTTTACATAAAATCACTTTTTCATCCTGCATCCTTTCACAAATTTGAAGTCATTGGTCATATCTATCTTCTTTTTAAATAAATATAAAACAAAGAAATGATAAGTTATAGTCTAGATTATATTTTTTAATCTAGATTATTTCTCACCAATTTAGCATTCCAATAATTACAAGTATTATTGCCTCTCTTACCCTAAGTGAACTAACATAGCATATAATAATGTAATAATGCTATTTTCTTAGCTTCAATAATTATTTTTGTAAAGGCAAAATCAGTATTCTAGACCACTGCAAACTTAGTGACTGACACATTTTTCACTGGCTGTTCATTCATTTCAACCAATTTGATTTAGAATCAATCAGCAGAGTTCCAAAGAAAGCAAGGAATAAACAAAGTCTTGACTTCTATGAGCATTCCTTTGAAAACCCCTTTCTACATTCTTCCCCTACTGTGTCAGTGATCATCATCATAACTACACTTTTAGTGTTCATATCAGAGATTTCCACTTCAGATGTTCCCCTCATAATTCGTTCTCTGGGGGCTGTAGGTAAAACAAAACACATAAGAAAATTCAGAACAGGTATCAGTTTTGTAACAAATGTAGGAAGGAGCAAGAAGGAAAGGTGATGAGGAATAAAGAGCTATTTACAAATATTTGGGAAATGAACAAAGAAGTCTTTAAAAAAAACTAGAATTCACCTGAGGTCAGGTCTTGGGTGCCTCTCTTTGACCATACCTGAAGGAAGTGTCTCAGAAAAGGCTGATGCTGGAGCCTTGTTCTATTCAAAATGGCCTCTGAATCTCTGCTTCAATATTCTTGTTCTTCTCTGGTCTCTCTGGTCTTAGACTTTGATTCTTTGTCTTGATTTTCCTCTGTGGATTAAATGTTCTGCTGAATGATCTACCAGGTTTTGGATTTCTACTATTGATACTTTTTTCTCAAATTCTTCTTACACTGTCACTTTCATTATAAGACACCAAAAAGTCTCACCCAACCATTAAACCCAACCTGGGCCTCCACACCTCCAGGCTGGGGCTAGTATTCTGAGCTGCTGCTTGCGTAGAAAGAGAGCTCAGACTATACCTGGAGATATGAGAACTTCCAGCATCTCTTAGAACCACTGGAGCAAGCAGAGAGGTCAATTTCCTTAAGGAAATAGGGATACAGTTCTTTTATCCAAGGCATTCCTCCAATCTAAAAACAAAGGGCTGAGCTGGAGAAGAACCCCGAAAAAAGAAGTTATAATGAATATTATTTTCCCTACAAAGACACTCCCTCATAAATGGCAAATAGTTGAGATACTGGCCCAAGGAATTCTCTCTCATCATTCCAACTCCCCTCCCACACAAAAAAGACTAAGTATGTTACCTCTCCCTGGAAAACATTCCTTGTTCATTCTTCATCTGGAAGAAGCAAACAAACAACAAAACATCTTCTGTCTTCAACACTTTTTCAGTAAGTTCCTTTCTTTCACCCAGAAAAATGCACTCCATACTTTCTGCTTTCTGGTATACCTTGATCATAGTTTAATCATGGGATATTCTAGTTAGTTGTGTGTCTGCTTATTTTCTCCAACAGACTCTGACTTTCATTTAAGTGGGGTCTTGTCTTTCTCATCTTTGCATTCCCCAGGCCCAACATAGAGTTATTCATCAAATGACATCTGAATGAACTTAAAAAAAAGGAATCAGAGCACATCTTTGATTTAGTTCTGACTGAGCAGCTACAACCAGAAAATTGAAGCATGGGAAGGACCCTTCAGGGTAGACTCAGAGACTTGAGAAAGAATTAGGATACATTAAATTTGAAATAATTTGAGATTGTATTGCTAGGTTTCCCTTTAGGCTGTTTCCTGAAAAACAAGAGAAAATAGCACTGAGATGGTTTGTAGAAGCTTAAGAGTAGTAAGGGAGAAGTTTGTCTTCCTTCCTGGAACTGTGCTGACTCACCTCACTGGCTAGAGGCATAAGCACAGTGTTCCTAGTTTGGTGAGGCAGGTTTCCCGGTTGTTCTCTAATTCTGAGAAATGTAGACAGGAAAAAAGCACTGATCTCTCCTCCTCACCCACCTCTTCCATCACCCTTTTCCCAGTGTCCTTTCCTCTTTATCACTGTTAGAGTAAATTTCACATCAACTATATTGCCCAAGTGTTATAAGATGCTCAATGAGTTTAATTGTGAAAAATGGACTGAAATAGAACATTTCTTATTCTTAGCATATTTCAGTGAAAAAATAAAGAAATGTAAGAAGGGAGGCCAAAGTCAAATCTTTTCAGTAACCAGGAAAGCCAATGACACCAAACAATGACAGCTTGGACTCAGTATTGCCCCCTGGTAGTACTGAGCAAAACAAAACCAGAATTTCTGACATGGAATCACAGCACAGTCACCCCTCCAAAGAGATGCTTACTACCATTTCTTCTCATTCACATGTTAAACATTCACAGCCAGGGCCTGTTTCCAGGTCTAAGCCCACCATGCAGGACTTTGAGGTGATACAGCATACTGGTGCCTTTGCTTTGCTCATAAGAGACCTGCTTCAGATCCTAGCCAGACGCCTTTTCCCTTATACAATTTTGTGGTTCAGAAGTAACAGGATGCTATTTGAAGTGATAGGAATGTACCTTTCCCATTTTTTGAACAACTCATAAACATAAAATGAGGCCTTATCCAGTGCAGGCATCTGAGGACAGTCACTGCAGCTAACAGGAGGAAATACCAAGGTGGGAGGAAAAAGAAGAGGAAGAGGATGTTAGAAAAAAAAAAAACTGAACTTCAATTGAATACAATTTAATTGAGGAAAGAATTATTTGCAAATCGGTAACTCCTAAACCAGAGTAGACTGAGAAAGATTCCAATGCATCCACATGGTGGAAGAAGTTTTATGGACCGAGAAAGAAAAGTGATGTACAGAAGAAAGAAGTGAGGTACAGAAGCAGTCAGATTGATTACAGTTCAGCATTTGCCTTATTTGAACCCAGGTTGAACAGTTGGCCACCTTTGAATGGCCCAAACTAGGTGATTGGCACAAGAGTAAGTTGCAGTCTGTTTACAGGAGTTACAATTCACCACACAAAAGGGTACAGAGACATCTCTAGATCAGACCCAGATTATGCAAAGGAGGGGCTTTGGGCTAAACTTAATTTAACAAGGAGATGTAGAAGAATTAAGGTAATAAGGATTGAGGAGTAGAAGGTCCAGGTTGTTCCACCTATTGAGAAGAGTTCCATCCTTCCCTCTTGAGCAGTTTGGTGATGTCCTCAAGAGAGCAGAGGTTAGAAAACCAGTCCCAGTGTTTTTTCTGCCATTTACTCTTTATGTATCTTTGGATGTTACCTTAAGTGTTTAAGTCTTAGTCTCCATATTGTAAAATTAAGATAATAATAATACCTGTGCTCTCATGTTCAAAAATATTTGTGAAAACCAACTAAAACTGTCTTATAAAATACAAAGTGTAGTTGAAGTGTTAGCTACTTATTTCTCTCCATAACTGCTCAGGAAGGAAGCCCAGCTGATGTAGCACCGTCCTCAGTGATGATTTCACCTCTTTATTCCTGAGACTGTAGATCAAGGGGTTCAACATGGGAGTTACCAGGTTATTTAGGATCTGAACAGTTGCATCCAGCCAGGGGCTTGGGGTTGGCCTCAAGTAGATGAGGACTACCGGCATGTAGAAAAGCAGGATGGCGGTGAGGTGGGCACTGCAGGTGGAGAAGGCACGACGTCGGCCCTCAGCAGAGCGGATCTGCAGGATGGAGTAGACAATGCAGCTGTAGGAAGAGAGGATGAGAAGGAAACAGCTGAGGGGCATGAGGCCCACACTGATGAATCCCACCATCTCCAGGGCTGAAGTATCTGCACAAGCCAGCTTCAGCATCACTGGGATATCACAGAAGTAATAGTCTACTTCATTGGGGCCACAGTAGGGCAATTGGAAGGTGAGAGTGGTTAGGAAGGTGGCCTGAATGCAGCCAAAAAACGAGGTCCCCATGGCTAGGATGGCACACACTCGGTGGCTCACGATTATCGTGTAGCGAAGAGGGTAGCATATGGCAACAAAGCGGTCATAGGCCATTACTGTGTACAGAAAACACTCAGTGCAGCCCAAGAAGTGGTAGAAGAAAAGCTGGGACACGCAGCCTGCGTAGGAGATGACTCGGCTGTTCCCTGAGAGGTAGAATAGCATCTTAGGGGAACTCACAGAAGGGAAAAATATGTCAAAAATAGACAACTTGCACAGGAAGAAGTACATGGGTGTGTGAAGCCGAGCAGAGGAGATAATAGCCAGCAGGATGAGCAGGTTCCCCAGAAGGGTGAAGATGTAGAAGGACAAAAACAGGACAAGGAGCATGGTCTCCAGACCCTCTGTGTGCGGGATGCCCAGCAGGATAAATTCAGTCACTACTGAGAGATTCCTCATAGCTGTGAGAAAGTCTGACGTTGATATTCTAGGGACTCAAGATACCAAGTCAAAACACAAATGTCAAATTATCAAGCTTTTTGCTAGTAAGTGCTTTGGCTATGTTTTAACAGGCAACAACCTGCCTTCTTATGAAGGGCATGAACAAGATCCATATAAAAATATCAGGTAATAAGAAATATCTATTTTAGAGTCACAGTCTATTCAACTCGTGGAAGGAATGTTTTGTAAAGGTGTACACTTGTCTTCTACAACAAGATCAGAAGTTTAGAGACATTCAAAACATTTTCACATTAAGTTTGACATAGATTTATTCTTCTTGATAATATTTATATTTTTAACTCTTGTGATGTCTTAAACAAACTCCTACTGTTCATGTACTCTCTGCAAAATAACAGAAAATAATTGTATTATAAATCAGAACATTTAATCTAAATGCTGACTTTTCCACCTATTAGTAATGCTAGATAAAGCAATTTACAGAACGTCTTTTGCAGACAAATTTCACAATCTACAAGATGAAAATTATATTTATGATAACAACAGCAGTGATAAAAAATATTCTGATATCATGGTAGTTAATGAAATACCTGTGAAAATGTCTGGCAAAACTGCTAATCTTAATGACAAGTTTTTCTTTATTTTATATGTCTTAAACTTAATTGTTTAAGAGGCTTCATTTAATGTTGGTGTCTATAATTATTTGCAAATAAATGTTTCATTTAGTAACATTGCTGAGTAGACTTCAGATCATACTCTTTCAGATTACATCCTTCCAGACTTGAGAGGTCTGAGATTCCCAACTCTATCAGGAGATGCTGTTCTTGTTCCTCTGTTGTTGTTGTTTGTTGTTGTTGTTGTTGTTTAATCTTTTCTAAGTGAACCTAAAGTGACTCTGAAATATTAAGGAAAAGAAATAATAATAGAGAGGAAAGTCCAATCCATGTCACTGTGATGAAGTAATAAATGCAATACCACATGTAAAGAGAGACAAAGAACAGCACTAGTGAGGTAGGTTATACAAGTTAAGAACAGAGGATGACACTTGGAGGATGCAGAGACTTCTTTTACTCATTGCTCAGTAATAATAATAATAATAATATATATAGTTACACATACACACACATACACCATTTAATGAACACTCATTACATTCCAAGGACTTGCTCAGCACTTTAAAATATATTATTTATTTTAAATATACTTATAAGAAGAAACTACTATTATTATTACTCTTCCTATCTACAAACAGGAAAGTGACATTTAGAAAAATTAAGCAAAAACGTTCAACTTTACATGATAGTGTGTGACAGACATGTTCCATTCTATTCTCTGTGTCCTCAATCATAAGGAAAATCTGCCCTCTGTTTGTTTCTGCTTTCTAAGATAGCCTGTTCTACTTACTGCTGGGCAATGACACCCTTCCAAACAGGATAACATCTTTGTTTTACACTCACGTTGAATACGTCTTTATGTCTCACCTCCTCCTGGTCACTTCGAGTGTTGACTTTAGTGCACATTTGGTTAATGTCTTATTTAATTTTAGAGGGCATACAACAGGCTTTTTTTAAAAAAATCACTTTGACATTAGATCTTATTATCAGCTCCAGTTCGGGAGCTTTCAAGTTGTAGAGCCATGTTCAACATGGGGATTCCAATCATAAGCTGTGTAAAAAGCATCTGTAAATACCAAGCCAATATGAGTCGCCCCCATACTACCCTAGAAATGGGCAAAAGCAGAGACAGCAAAGAAACAGTGGCATTCAGAGGAGAAAATGCTTCTGATAGTCTGTCCTTTATTACTAATTCTAGCCACACATTAGTGTGTGAGAAGGTGAGGCTAATGTGAGACACAGGCATAGCTTTGAATACTCACATAATCTATCTGGGAACATAGTCAAGTTTTCCAAAGTGTTGTAACAAGATCTCACATTTACTGTTTCTGAGTAGAGTAAAATATGCTCCAGCCAAAGGAGCTTAATTCTCCTATTTATAAAGAATAAAGTCTCCTAGGGTTTGTACAATCGAGACCTGTATACACTCATTCTCTATGGATTACTTCCTTTGAAAATTGTGTCAGAACCTCTCAAGTCCTCCTTGAGACTCGGTGATAGCTCTGAGGGAGCAATTAGTTTGTCAGCCTTATTCATCATCCAGTCATGAAATAATAGTAATGAATATCATCAGAAAGAGATGTTCTAAAGTGGGCAACAGGCTGGGCACAGTGGCTCATGCCTATAACCCTAGCACTTTGGGAGGCTGATGCTGGAGATTGCTTGAACCCAGGAGTTGGAGACCAGCCTGGCAACATAGTGAGACCTCA